GTAAATGAACTAATCTACAAATGAGCTTATGGCAAAATCAAAAAGAAGCAAATTGCTTTGACAGATAACGCTTTGATTGCTCCATCTCTTGGTAAATATGGCATCATCTACATGGAGAATCTGATTCATGAGATACACACTGTTGGAAAACGCTTCAAAGAAGCAAATAACTTCCTGTGGCCCTTCAAATTATCTTCTCCACGAGGTGGAATGAAGAAAAAGGCTACTCGTTTTGTAGAATGTGGAGATGATAGCAACAGGGAGGCCCGGGTCAACAGGCTTATTAGAATTAATTAAGGTGTCTATCATGATTATTTTTCTAAGCTGGTTGGTTAATAAATAGTACCTGCTCTCAAATTGAAAAAAAAAAGAAAATAGACTCAAATCAGACAGTTTACAAAAGACAAAGACATTGTATATGTGTCCTTACATATCTGGACAGACAGATACACACACACACACACACACACACACACACGTTTTTTCGAGATAGGTCACCCAGGATGGAGTGTAGTGGCATGAATACAGCACTCTGTACCCTCCACCTCCCAGGCTCACGTGATCCTCCAACCTCATCCTCCTGAGTAGCTGGGACTAAAGGCATGCGCCACCATACTCGGATAATTTTTTATATCTTGTATAGAAATGGGGCCTCCCTGAAGGTTGCAGTGAGCCCAGATCGCGCCACTGCACTCCAACCTGAGTGACAGTGAGACTGTCAAAAAAAAAAAAAAAAAAAAAGATAGAAATGGAGCCTCCCTTTGTTGCCCAGGTTGGTCTCAAAGCTCGGAGCTCAAGCAATCCTTCCACTTTGGCCCCCCTAAGTGCTGGAATTACAGGCAAAACCACTGCACCTGGCCGAAAACTGTGTGTGTGTGTGTGTGTGTGTGTGTGTGTGTGTGTTAGACAGTCTCGCTCTCAGAAAGTGATGGAATTACTTGAGCCACAGTGTCCAGCCAGACGTTATATATTTATAACAAATACAATACAGGCTAGGCACAATGGCTCACACCTGTAATTTCAGCATTTTGGGAGGCCAAGGTGGCAGCATTGCTTGCTCCGGAGTTGGAAACCTGCCTAGATAGCACAGTGAAACCCCATCCCTTCAAAAACTTAAAAATTAGGCAAGGAAGATGACACACACCTGTGGTTCCAGCTACTCGGGAGGTTGAGGTAGGAGGATGGCTTGAGCCTGGGAGGTTGAGGCTGCAGTAAACCATGTTACCACCACTGCACTCTAGCCTAGGTGACAGAGCAAGACTCTATCTTAAAAAATAAAAATGGAGCCGGGCGCGGTGGCTCAAGCCTGTAATCCCAGCACTTTGGGAGGCCGAGGCGGGTGGATCACGAGGTCGAGAGATCGAGACCATCCTGGTCAACATGGTGAAACCCCGTCTCTACTAAAAATACAAAAAACTAGCTGGGCGTGGTGGCGCATGCCTGTAATCCCAGCTACTTAGGAGGCTGAGGCAGGAGAATTGCCTGAGCCCAGGAGGCGGAGGTTGCGGTGAGCCGAGATCGTGCCATTGCACTCCAGCCTGGGTAACAAGAGCGAAAACTCCGTCTCAAAAAAAAAAAAAATAAAAAAAAAAAAAAATAAATAAATAAAAATAAAAATGGGCGGGTGCAGTAGTTCACACCTGTAATCCCAGCACTTTGGGAGGCTGAGGTGGGTGGATCACGAGGTTAGCAGTTCAAGACCAGCCTGGCCAAGATGATGAAACCCCGTCTCTACTAAAATACAAAAAAATTAGCCAGGCATGGTGGCAGGCACTTTTAATCCCAGCTACTCAGGAGGCCGAGGCATGAGAATTGCTTGAACCGGGAAGCAGAAGTTGCAATGAACCAAGATCTCGCCATTGCACTCCAACCTGGGCAACAGAGCAAGATTCCATCTTAAAAAAATAAATACATGCCGGGCGCGGTAGCTCAAGCCTGTCATCCCAGCACTTTGGGAGGCCGAGGCGGGTGGATCACGAGGTCGAGAGATCGAGACCATCCTGGTCAACATGGTGAAACCCCGTCTCTACTAAAAATACAAAAAATTAGCTGAGCATGGTGGCGCATGCCTGTAATCCCGGCTACTCAGGAGGCTGAGGCAGGAGAATTGCCTGAACCCGGGAGGCGGAGGTTGCGGTGAGCCGAGATCGCGCCATTGCACTCCAGTCTGGGTAACGAGAGCGAAACTCAGTCTCAAAAAAAAAAAAAAAAAAAAAAAAACAAACCATGAAATAAAAATATATCCGGGTGCAGTGACTCACGCCTGTAGTTTCAGCATTTTAGGAGGCCAAGGTAGGTGGATCTTCTGAAGTCAGCAGCTCAAGACCAGCCTGACCAACATGGTGAAATCCTATCTCTACCAAAAATACAAAAGTTAACCTTTCGTAGTGGAGGATGCCTGTAATCCCAACTACTCAGGAGGCTGAGGCAGGAGAATCACTTGAATCTAGGAGGCACATGGTAAAACCCCATCTTTAAAAATAAATAAATAAATAAATAAATATGGGGTTTCACCATGATGGCGAGGCTGGTTCTGAACTCCTGACCTCAGGTGATCCACCCACCGTGGCCTCCCAAAGTGCTAGGATTACAGGCGTAAGCCACCATGCCTGGCCTGCAGTGGTGCTTTCTTGGCTTGCTGCAACCTCTGCCTCCCAGATTCAAGCAGTTCTCATGTCTCAGCCTCCTAAGTAGTTAAGATTACAGGTATGTGCCAACAATACACCCAGCTAATTTTTGTATTTTTAGTAGAGATGGGGTTTTGTCATGTGGTCAGGCTGGTCTCAAACTCCTGGCCTCAAGTAATCCACCTGCCTCGGGATTCCCAAAGTGCTGGGATTATAGGCTTGAGCCACTGAGTCCGGCGAGCAATACCCTTTTTTTTGAGACGGAGTTTCCCTTTTTGTCCGGGCTGGAGTGCAATGATATGGAGTGCAATGGAGTGAGCCACTGTATCAGGTCAATAATTATTTATTTTTTGCTTTATCTTTTCCTCCCCCCTCCCATGCCCCGTACAACAATCACTCCCTTCCCCATCCCCTTTTCTCTCTTAAAATTATGTTTATTGAGGTACAATTTAGATACAATAAAATGAACAAATCATAAGTATTCAGTTTAATGAGTTTGGGAAAATGTCTAGACAAATACAACCACCATCACAATCAAGTTACAGAACCTTTCCATCACCCCAAAATATTTCCTATTACTTCTTCCCAGTCAATTGCGTCCTCTCATTCTGGCTTCAGGGAACTTTGTTCTGATTTAATATTGCTATAGATTAATTTTGCCTTTTCTACAATTTCGTGCAGTGGAATCATACAATACATACTCTTTTGGGTCTAGTTTCTTTTGCTTAACATAAGGCATTTTAGGCCGGGCGCGGTGGCTCAAGCCTGTAATCCCAGCACTTTGGGAGGCCGAGGCGGGTAGATCACGAGGTTAAGAGATCGAGACCATCCCGGTCAACATAGTGAAACCCGGTCTCTACCAAAAATACAAAAAATTAGCTGGGCATGGTGGCGCGTGCCTGTAATCCCAGCTACTCAGGAGGCTGAGGCAGGAGAATTGCCTGAACCCAGGAGGCGGAGGTTGCGGTGAGCCGAGATCGCGCCATTGCACTCCAGCCTGGGTAACAAGAGCGAAACTCCGTCTCAAAAAAAAAAAAAAAAAAAAAAAAAAAAAGGCATTTTAGATCAATCTGTGTTGTGTGTCTAGTTGTTCGAGTCGTTCCTTTTTTTTCCCCCCCGCCCCGAGATGAAGTTTTGCTCTTGTTGCCAAGGCTGGGAGTACAGTGGTGCGATCTCAGCTCACTACAACCTTGGCCTCCTGGGTTCAAACGACTCTCCTGCATCAGCCTCCAGAGTAGCTGGGACTACAGGAGCGCGCCACCATGCCCAGCTAATTTTTGTATTTTTAGTAGAGAGGGGGTTTCACCTTATTGACCAGGATGGTCTCGATCTCTTGACCTTGTGATCCACCCGCCTCGGCCTCCCAAAGTGCTGGGATTATAGGCGTGAGCCACCGCGCCAGGCCAATTTTTGTATTTTTAGTAGAGAGGGTGTTTCACCATGTTGCCCAGGATGGTCTCCATCTCTTGAGTTGTCTTTAACAGACTACCGCCCTACGCAGTGAAAGAAGCCCAAAGAGAGCCGAAGGGCTTGCAAACAGAAAGGCACCACAGCCGCAGGGCGGGGCCCGCGGGTAGGCTCTAAGGTTTGCGCAGTCATTGGCTGAAGAAGAAGTTCCGTGGGAGGAGCGCGGTGACTCACGCCTGTAATTCCGGCACTTTGGTAGGCCGAGGCGGGCGTATTACCTGAGGTCAGAGGTTAGAGACCAGCCTGGCCAACATGGTGAAACATAATTTAAAAAAAAAAATTCCGTTTTCACACTACTAAGATATACCTGAAAAAAATTAGCCGAGCATGGTGGCGGGCGCCTGTAATCCCAGCTACTAGTGAGGCAGAGGCAGAAGAATCGCTTGAACCCGGGAGCCGTAGGTTACACTGAGTAGAGATGGCGCCACTGCACTCTAGCTGGGGCGACAGAGCGAGATTCCTTGTTTAAATAAAAAAAAAAAAAAAAAAGAAAAGAAAAAATTGGCCGGGCGCGGTAGCTCAAGCCTGTAATCCCAGCACTTTGGGAGGCCGAGGCGGGCGGATCACAAGGTCAAGAAATCGAGACCATCCTGGTCAACATGGTGAAACCCCGTCTCTACTAAAATTACAAAAAAAAAACTAGCTGGGCATGGTGGGGCGTGCCTGTAATCCCAGCTACTCGGAAGCCTGAGGCAGGAGAATTGCCTGAACCCAGGAGGCAGAGGTTGCGGTGAGCCGAGATCGTGCCATTGCACTCCAGCCTGGGTAACAAGAGCAAAAAACTCCGTCTCAAAAAAAAAAAAAAAAAAGAAAAGAAAAAAATTTCCGCAGGCACTTCCGATTCCCGGCCCACCCTGAGCTTCGGTGATTGGCTGGGCGGGCGGTTCGCGAGGCCTCCCGGGAGTTGTAGTTCTTGAGGTTCAGCTGAGGATGCCGGGAAGGACTGGTGGTCCGAGGCCTGGAGCGGTGGTTGCAGTTAGTCGCGGCTGCTGGCACCATGTCCCGCATTTTGGTGCCCTGCCATGTGAAAGGCACCGTAGCCCTGCAGGTGGGCGACGTGCGGACCTCCCAAGGCCGGCCTGGCGTGCTGGTCATCGATGTCACCTTCCCCAGCGTCGCTCCCTTCGAGGTGAGCAAGCCTGGTGGGCGCTACCGAGGCTCCCGGGCGGGGCCGACCTGGAATCTCGGTCGTTTCCTAGGCATTTAATCTTTTACAGGAAAGCCTCTGCAGCCTTGCTTGACCTTGCAAATTAATAATTCATTTGTTTAGTCCTTCAGTTAACACATTTTCCCTGGAATTGATCTTCCTACTCTGTTCTCTGCTGTGTCTCTTGCCCATGTCCAGGACAGCGCTGGCATGCAGGTGCTGAGAATGGGCTAGGTGGTGCTAGAAATACCAAATAGTGAACCAAAATAGAAGTTAGGGGTCATTTTGGCCCTGGCCACAGTTGGGGATCGCTAGGCAATGATTTACCCCAAAACCTGCCTCCTTCCCTTTCTTATAGTCCCTGCTAGAGGTCAAGTACCTCATCAACCATCCCCCCAATAACTCTAGTTGACAGTCTCCAATCTCCAGTTGCACCACTTCCGCATCAGTTGATAGAGGGACTGGACACTGCATGACTCAACACAGAGGGCAAAACCTACCTCAGATGGCATGGCATTGAGAGCCCTCTGTGTCTGTGCCCCACTTGTCTCTCTGTTTTTTCTTTTTCTTTTTTTTTTTTGAGACAGAGTTTAACTTTTGTTACCCGTGCTGGAGTGCAGTGGTGTAATCACTGCAACCTCTGCCTCCTGGGTTCAAGCAATTCTCCTGTCTCATCCTTTCAAGTAGCTGGTATTATAGGAACCCACCATCATGCCCCGCTAATTTTTTGAATTTTTAGTGGAGATGAGGTTTCACCATGTTGGCCAGGCTGGTCTTCAACTCCTGACCTCAGGTGATCCACCCGCCTCGGCCTCCCAAAGTGCTGAGATTACAGGTGTGAGCCACCACATCCATCCTAGTAACAAATTTTCTTGGGTGATTCTGGTGAGTATCCAGTGATAAGAACCATTACAGTAGCCAAGCTGAATCACTGGCTGTTCTGGTGGTACACCAGGTTCTCTCACTCTCTTGTAATTATTTGTATATGCTACTTTTTTTTTCTGATTCTCCTGTATATGCTACTTTTATATTATCTACATTTTTAAAAATGTATTTATTTATTTATTTTGTAGAGATGGGGTTTCACCATATTGGCCAGCTGGTCTCAAACTCCTGACCTTGAGATCCACTTGTCTCAGCCTCCCAAAGTGCTGCCACCTCCACCTCCTGGGTTCAAGCAATTCTCCTGCCTCAGACTTCCAGGTAGCTGGGACTATAGGCATATGTCAGCATGCCCAGCTAATTTTTTTTTTCTTTTTTTTTTTTTTTTTTTTTTTTTGAGACAGAGTTTCACTCTTGTTACCCAGGCTGGAGTGCAATGGCGCGATCTCGGCTCACCGCAACCTCCGCCTCCTGGGTTCAGGCAATTCTCCTGCCTCAGCCTCCTGAGTAGCTGGGATTACAGGCACGCATGCGCCACCATGCCCAGCTAATGTTTTGTATTTTTAGTAGAGACGGGCTTTCACCAAGTTGACCAGGATGGTCTCGATCTCTTGACCTCGTGATCCGCCCGCCTCGGCCTCCCAAAGTGCTGGGATTACAGGTGTGAGCCACCGCGCCCAGCCCGATCTTTCTTTCTTTCTTTTTTTTTTTTTAAAGATGGGATTTCACCATCATGGCCAGGCTGGTCTTGAACTTCTGACATCAGGTGATCCACCCACCTCAGCCTCCCAAAGTGCTAGGATTGCAGGCGTGAGCCACCACACCCGGCATTTTTTTTTTTTTTTTTTTTTTTTTTGAAGATGGGGTTTCACCACGTTGGCCAGGCTGGTTTTGAATTCCTGACCTCGGGTAATCCACCCACCTCAGCCTCCTGAAGTACTAGGATTACAGGCATGAGCCACTGTGCCTGGCTTGTATTTTTAGTAGGGATTGGGTTTCACTATGTTGGTCAGGATGGTCTCAAAGTCCTGACCTCAAATGATCCACCCACCTCAGCCTCCCAAAGTGCTGGGATTACAGGTGAGAGCCACCACACCCACTTATGTTATCTACATTTCTTAGTCCACTTGGTGAACTCTTTATCTTTCAGGCCTCATATGCACATTTCTGCCTCTTTCAGGGTTAGAGCTCTGCCCTCTAGGAGCATCTTGGACATGTGGCAAGATCTGTGGTCATGAGTAGGCCATGACCTAACTTATTTAGACTGTGAGCACCTTTAGGAAACCAGAATCTGCTGGGTGCTGTGGCTCATGCCGATAATCCTAGCACTTTGGGAGGCCGAGGTGGGTGGATCACCTGAGGTCAGGAGTTCAAGACCAGCATGGCCATCATGGTGAAATCCCATCATTAAAAAATAAATAAATAGGCCGGGCGCGGTGGCTCAAGCCTGTAATCCCAGCACTTTGGGAGGCCGAGGCGGGTGGATCACAAGGTCGAGAGATCGAGACCAACCTGGTCAACATGGTGAAACCCCGTCTCTACTAAAAATACAAAAAAAAATTAGCTGGGCATGGTGGCGCGTGCCTATAATCCCAGCTACTCAGGAGGCTGAGGCAGGAGAATTGCCTGAACCCAGGAGGCGGAGGTTGCGGTGAGCCGAGATCGCGCCATTGCACTCCAGCCTGGGTAACAAGAGCGAAACTCCGTCTCAAAAAAATAAAAATAAATAAAAATAAATAAATAAATAAAATAAATTAAAAAATAAATAAAAAGGAAACCAGAATTGTCTTTCAGCCCCAGTGATGCTTGTTGAAAATGTTAATTTAGTAGAAGAGTACATTCAAAAAGGAAGAGGCAGGTGGATCACCTGAGGTCAGGAGTTTGAGACCATCCTGGCCAACATGGTGAAATCCTGTCTCTACTAAAAACACAAAAAAAGGCCGGGCGCAGTGGCTCAAGCCTGTAATCCCAGGGAGGGATGGCCGAGGCGAGTGGATCACGAGGTCAAGAGATCGAGACCATCCTGGTCAACATAGTGAAACCCCGTCTCTACTAAAAATACAAAAAATTAGCTGGGCATGGTGGCACGTGCCTGTAATCCCAGCTACTCAGGAGGCTGAGGCAGGAGAATTGCCTGAACCCAGGGGGCGGAGGTTGCGGTGAGCCGAGATCGCGCCATTGCACTCCAGCCTGGGTAACAGGAGCGAAACTCCGTCTCAAAAAAAAAAAAAAAAAAAAAAAAAACACAAAAAAATTAGCCGGGTAGGGTGGCATGTGCCTGTAGTCCCAGCTGCTTGGGAGGCTGAGGCAGGAGAATCACTTCAACCCGGGGTGGGGGTCGAGGTTGTAGTGAACTGAGATTGTGCCACTGCACTCCGGCCTGGGCAACAGAGCAAGATTTCCTCTCAAACAAAAAACAAAGGGAAGGAAGAGGTGGTGCCTTTGACCTTTGAGCTTTTCAGTCCCTGGGCCTGGGTCTGACTTGTTGCAATGGGTTGTATGTGCTCTAGTTGCAGGAGATCACGTTTAAGAATTACTACACAGCTTTTCTGAGCATCCGTGTCCGTCAGCACACCTCAGCACACACACCGGCCAAGTGGGTGACCTGCCTGCGGGACTACTGCCTGATGCCTGACCCACACAGTGAGGAGGGAGCCCAGGAGTATGTATCGCTGTTCAAGCATCAGGTCAGCTGGGCCTCAGGATGGCCAGGGCAGCCCAGATGAGGACTTACCAGAGGTGGGGGGAATGGGTCAATATACTAAGAGGGAAGAGGGGCCAGTCTGGCCTGGACTGTGACTATCAGGCAAGTGCCTTGGAGGGACTACTGTTCCTTCCTTCCCAAAGGCCTGCGGGGTGGGCAGCATTTTGGCTCATTGTTGGTTGAGAAGCTTCTGGGCAGTGAGCTAGGTCCTCGCTGGGTCCTTGTGTGTGTGTGTCAGATGCTGTGTAACATGGCCAGAGTATCGGAGCTACGCCTGATTCTGCGGCAGCCATCACCACTGTGGTTGTCTTTCACAGTGGAAGACCTGCAGATCTATCAGCAGGGACCAAAGGTAAGTGACTGGCTCAGCTGCTGGCTGGCCCTTTCCCCAGAAGGCTTCTATGACTGGGAAAGCTAGGTGGTGGGGTGGGTAATGGGTAAAGATGGTGAAGGGGGCCTTCATGGAGGTTAGCTTGGTGTGAATGCTGGAAGCTCATGATGAGTGGTCAGGCCATGTCCCCATATCCCTTGACCTTTGGGGCTACCAACTACTTTCAGAGCTGGAGCCTTTAGGTGCTGGGAGACACTTTTGAGCTTGTGTTTCTGAGGACTCTGTCTGCACAGCAGGAGAACTTAGGTAGTCTGACTGCTTCTTTAGGTCTCTGTGGGTTCCCTAAACAGAGTTTTCCCAGTATCTGAGGCTCAGGGGCCCTTCCCTATGCTCCTAGGACCTTGGAATCTGATCCCAGAGCTAGCTACTTTGTCTCACTCAGGGCAGTTCATCTTTGCTTTGCAGAGCCCCTCCATGACCTTCCCCAAGTGGCTCTCCCACCCAGTGCCCAGTGAGCAACCTGCACTCCTCTGTGAGGTAAGCCCTCACCCTAGGTAAGAACCATGTGTGAATGGCTCTAGTGTCCAGCACAGGCCAGGTGGACCCCTTCCTATAAAATTCTGGGGCTGGGCCCAGGACCCTTGGGTACTATCTTCCTCTTGGGGTGGGATTTGAGGCATCTCTGGTGTGGCACTGGGCTGCCTACTGAACATCAGGCCCTAACCTCATGTTCCATAAGCCATCTGAGAATGTTACTGGTCTCAGGTGGAGGGCCCCTAGCCCAGGTTGGCCTCTCTGGAGCCCTAAGGGCACAATGGCCACTGACCCCTCCTTCTGGAGCAGGGTCTCCCAGACCCCAGCAGGGTATCCTCCGAGGTGCAGCAGATGTGGGCACTGACAGAGATGATCCGGGCCAGTCACACCTCCGCGAGGATCGGCCGCTTTGATGTAAGTGATCGCTTCCCTCTGCTTGGCTTGCTTTGCCCTGAGCAGATCAGACCTGATGGTCTTTTGTATTTCAGGTGGACGGCTGTTATGACCTGAACTTGCTCTCCTACACTTGAATGGTGGTTCCTAGCCAAGATGTTGGCCTTTCTGTGCCCATCCAGACTTGGTTTGGGCCACCAGAGGCTGAAGTATTTCCTGTGTATTCCAAGTATTGCCTGCATGCCTGTTCTGTCTGGGCCACATTCACAGATTCAAGATTCTTGAGTGCTTACTGTGTTGCTTCAGCATGGGCTCCTGGCAGGGGTGTGTTCTGTCTTCACCTGGCTGCAACTAAATTCTTCCTTCTACCCAAAAACACTCCAGTTAGTTGTACTTACTAAGAATCCCTGAGTGCCCTCTGTCCCTCCTGCCAACATGCACATTCCTGTCTTCTGCCTGCTCCCTCACCTCAGTGCAGTTGGGCTGGGCTGACCTACTAGAACCCGCTCCATTTATGGACCTGGAAAGCCACTGCTGCCATGGCACTTGGGACACTTGAGGAAGAAACAGAAACCTTATTTCTTCCTGTGTGTCCTCTTGTGGTTTTCTTTCCCTTTGTGTTATGCCACAGAAAGAAATTTTCTGCCTAAACTCTTCTGCTGCCTGCCTAGGAAGTAAAGCTGAAGATTTGGGCAGCCTGAGTCTCTTGCTTTCTGAGCTGGCTCCTGAATATATGTTCAAATGGGTGTGCCCCTAGGGCCTGGGCAAGTGTCTCTAGCAAAGCCAGGGTCTGAGAATAAGAACTGGGACATTGGCCGGGCGTGGTGGCTCACGCCTGTAATCCTAGCATTTTGGGAGGCCGAGGTGGGTGGATCACCTGAAGTCAGGAGTTCAAGACCAGCCTGGCCATCATGGTGAAACCCCATCTTAAAAATAATAATAAAAGAACTGGGACCTCTCTGCCATCTGATATAGCCCAAAGCACATCCCTATCCTTTCTGCCAGTTGCCCCTTTGCATTGTTTTTGAGACAGAGTTTTACTCTTGTTGCCCAGGCTGGAGTGCAGTGGCGTAATCTCCGCTCACTGCAACTTCTTCCCGGGTTCAAGTGATTCTCCTGCCTCAGCCTCCCAAGTAGCTGGGATTATAGGCATGTGCCATGACACCTGGCTAATTTTGTATTTTTAGTAGAGATGGGGGTTTCTCCACGTCGGTCAGGCTGGTCTAGAACTCCCTACCTCCACCTGCCTCAGCCTCCCAAAGTGCTGGTATTACAGGTATGAGACACTGTGCCTGGCCTGCCCCTTTCCAAGACACATGCTCAGCATGATGAGAGCTCAACCATGGTGGAGAATGGGTCTAAAGAAGCGTTCTCTCTTTTTTTTTTTTTTTTTTTGAGACGGAGTTTCGCTCTTGTTACCCAGGCTGGAGTGCAATGGCGCGATCTCGGCTCACCGCAACCTCCGCCTCCTGGGTTCAGGCAATTCTCCTACCTCAGCCTCCTGAGTAGCTGGGATTACAGGCACGCACCACCATGCCCATCTAATTTTTTGTATTTTTAGTAGAGCCGGGGTTTCACCATGTTGACCAGGATGGTCTCGATCTCTTGACCTCATGATCCACCCGCCTTGGCCTCCCAAAGTGCTGGGATTACAGGCTTGAGCCACCGTGCCCGGCTCTTTTTTTAAATTTTATTTATTTCTTTTTATTTTATTTATTTTATTTTTTTATTTTTTATTTTTTTAGTAGAGACGGGGTTTCACCATGTTGACCAGGATGGTCTCGATCTCTTGACCTCGTGATCCACTCGCCTCGGCCTCCCAAAGTGCTGGGATTACAGGCTTGAGCCACTGCACCCGGCCTATTTATTTTTCCTAAAGTTGGGGTTTCACCATCCTGGCCAGGCTGGTCTTGAACTCCTGACCTCAGGTGATCCACCCACCTCGGCCTCCCAAAGTGCTAGGATTACAGGCTTGAGCCACCACACCTGGCTAAATAAGGGTTCTCATTGGTGTCTTTTTTGTTTTGTTTCGTTTTTCTTTTTATGGAGAACAGGGTCTCACTATATTGCCCAGGCAGGTCTCAAACTCCTGGGCTCAAGCTCTCCTCCCGCCTCTGCCTCCCTAAGAGCTAGGATTACAGGGGTGAGCCACAGCACCCGGCCTCATTGGTGCCTTTTAAGAGGCTTAGGTCCTCCATTAACTCAGGCCAACCATTAAGTGATGCAGGCTGCTTTTCCTTCATGTGAGAAAATCCTGTGTCCCTCTGATTCTTTCTGGCTTTGCCCCTGGTGGCTACTATGAAGCAGTACTGGAGTATGTCTTGGACCTGGAAAATTGGACATGTGTGCGGCTGAACAGTTTTCTAGAGGGAGTTCAGTGACCTTGTGGTGGCTACCCTCTGCTCTCACCCATGAGTTCCTACAGGTGGTGACTTTACCTGCAAAGTTACTTACATAGCCCCACTCAGCTGCTTCTGAAAAGGTGATGGAGCAGTAGTCTTCAGTGTGCGTGTGAGTGAAGAGGACCTTGTGGTAGCAGGGACCCTGCTTCATTTGTGGCTGTGTCCGCAGCCCAGGGCCTGGTATGCAGCAAGATCAATAAATACTTCTGGAATGCATGACTGCTGGCTGACTGTGTCTGCCTGGTAGGAGAGCTGGGGACCCCTACAGTGAGGGCAGACTACTGTGGTGCTGCTAGCCTGCCAGGCTGGCTCCACCCAGCTGTGACCTCTCCACTCTCCCCACCCCCATTTGACCTTACTCTCTTGAGGTCCTAAATGTATGATTGAGACCTTTCAGCCCTTTCTGGAACTTTGACCCTTTGGAGACAGGGCAGTTCTGCAGGGGGCGGTCTAGCCCCTGGCTCTGTTCTGGGCAGCTCAATCAGCTCTGGATTGCCTGAGCTTCCCTGAAGAGCCAGCCGGAGGCAGTTTCGCTGCTTTGGGAGTTCCTGCATTCTCTGCTCTAAATCCCAGCCTGCCCTTGGGGCTGCCCGCCCCCTCCTTTGATCCTTTGCTCCCGAGCGAGACCTGTCCAAGCAGAGGCCTGGACTACATCTCCCGGCGTGCCTGGCAGTGTGGTGGCCTCTGTGCGCCAGTCTGTACTCGTTGCTGGCGACAATGCAGAGGGCTGTAAGTGTGGTGGCCCGTCTGGGCTTTCGCCTGCAGGCATTCTCCCCGGACTTGTGTCGTCCACTCAGTTTCACACAGGTGGGATAGAGGGTGCTGATCTTGGAGGGTGGGGAAGGGAAGTGGCTGGGGGCTAGGGCCCTGGTGGCACTAAGCCCAGTCCCCTGCAGGACGTGCTCCGCAGGACACCGCTCTATGACTTCCACCTGGCCCACGGCGGGAAAATGGTGGCTTTCGCGGGTTGGAGTCTGCCCGTGCAGTACCAGGACAGTCACACTGACTCGCACCTACACACACGCCAGCACTGCTCGCTCTTTGATGTGTCTCACATGCTGCAGGTGAGTCAGGGGAGCACGCTGGCTGCCTGATCAGTCCTTCTTCCCCATTTACAGTGGTGCCCTCCTTGGGTTTGTTTGCTGGGAACTGGATTCCAAGGACAGCCCTCCCAGAAGAGCTAGAGGTCATGGGGGTGTCATGGATAGGTCAATGGCCCCAAGGAAACAGGCTCAGAGGACCTCATCGTCTCATCTTTCTAGCCTGCTCCCACTAAGTGGTGTACCTTAATGTCTTGGGTTTTTCATGGGTGACACCCACTCTAATGTATTGGGCTGGGTGTTGGTTTGAAAAGGGTTATTTGCTGGGCGCGGTGGCTCAAGCCTGTAATCCCAGCACTTTGGGAGGCCGAGGCGGGTGGATCACGAGGTTAAGAGATCGAGACCATCCCGGTCAACATGGTGAAACCCCGTCTCTACTAAAAAATACAAAAAATTAGCTGGGCATGGTGGCGTGTGCCTGTAATCCCAGCTACTCAGGAGGCTGAGGCAGGAGAATTGCCTGAACCCAGGAGGCAGAGGTTGCGATGAGCCTAGATAGCGCCATTGCACTCCAGCCTGGGTAACAAGAGCGAAACTCCATCTCAGAAAAAAAAAAAAAAAAAGGGTTATTTCAGGAAGGTTCGAGGTCCTGTCCAGTTCCCTGGCAGTCCCCCTGCACAGGGTGACTGGGGGAGGTCAGAAAATCAGAAGGTGATCCTTTGCCACTTGTAGAACCAAAAGACTGGTTAGTCACTTTGGCTGGGATGGACTGCACTGTGGATGGCAGGGAGGATGCATCCTTGCTTAGTGGCCTTTTGGACTGTAGCTGTTGCAATGGGCTGAGGCTTTCAATCTCTTTCCCCAGACCAAGATATGTGGTAGTGACCGGGTGAAGCTGATGGAGAGTCTAGTGGTTGGAGACATTGCAGAGCTAAGACCAAACCAGGTGGGCCCTTCTTTTATTTCTGCTCTATGAGTTTTCTGAGTCATGAGGCAGCAAATGGGCTGCGTCCCTACCTAAGGCTTAGGGGCACAGAGATCCGTCAAACACAGCTTCTCAGGTTTGCAGTCTTGGGGGACGAAATCTCTGAGTCATTTCCAGAGACCCAGCCATTTGTAGGGAGGGGAAGTATCCCAGCCTTACCACATTAGGGTAGGAAGCCAGAAACCAAGGTCAATATCCTATTCTCTGACCATCCCTGCCGCCTAACCCTTCTCTATTCAAAGTGTGGTCCCTAGCCAGGCACAGTGGCTCACGCCTGTGATCCCAGTACTTTGGGAGGTCAAGGCAGGTGGATCACCTGAGATAAGAAGTTCAAGATCAGCCTGGCCAACATGGTGAAATCCGTTTCTACTAAAAATACAAAAATTAGCTGGTGTTGTGGTGTGCACCTGTAGTCCCACCTACTCAGGAGACTGAGGCAGGAGAATTCCTTGAACCCGGGGAGGTGGAGGTCACAGTGAGCTGAGATCGCACCACCCCACTCCAGCCTGAGTGACAGAGCAAGACACTGTCTCAAACAAACAAACAAACAAAAGTGTGGGGCCGGGCGCGGTGGCTCATGCCTGTAATCCCAGCACTTTGGGAGGCCAAGGCGGGTGGAACACGAGGTCAAGAGATCGAGACCATCCTGGTCAACAAGGTGAAACTCCCTCTATACTAAAAATACAAAAAGTTAGCTGGGCATGGTGGCACGTGCCTGTAATCCCAGCTACTCAGGAGGCTGAGACAGGAGAATTGCCTGAACCCAGGAGGCAGAGGTTGCGGTGAGCCGAGATAGCGCATTGCACTCCAGCCTGGGTAACAAGAGCGAAACTCCGTCTCAAAAAAAAAAAAAAAAAAGTGTGGTCTCTAAACCAGCAACCTTGGAGCTTGTTAGGAATATACTCTCAGGCACTGCTCCAGACCTGCTGAATCAGAACATTCATTTTAACAAGATCCCCAGGTGATTCATGTACCCTCAACCTCAGGCTCTTTGTCCATCTAGAGGGGAGGCTAAGGCCAGTATTTTGGGGGCACTGCCATGGAGTACTTAGGCGAGCCTGGGATCATCAAGATGGCCTTTGAAGCTTTTGTCCTGTGGGTTGGCACATGGGCTGAGTTGTTCCAGGTCTGGGTAGGTGAAGCAGCAAGTCCTAGGTGTTAAAGATTAAGCATGAGATGGGGCTCTCAGTAGAGTGAGGAGAGAGAGGTGGCCAAGTTGCAGACGCAGAGATGCAGATCTTTGTGAAGACCCTCACAGGCAAGACCATCATCCTTGAGGTTGTGCCCAGTGACACCATTGAGAATGTCAAAGCCAAAATTCAAGACAAGGAGGGTATCCCACCTGACCAGCAGCATCTGATGTTTGCCAGCAAACAGCTGGAGGATGGCTGCACTCTCTCAGACTACAACATCCAGAGAGTCCACCCTGCACCTGGTGCTGTGCCTGTGAGCTGGCATTATTGAGCCTTCCCTCTGCCAGCTTGCCCAGAAATACAACTGCGACAGGATGATCTGCCGCAAGTGCTGTGCTTGTCTGCACCCCGGTGCTGTCAACTGCCGCAAGAAGTGTGGCCACACCAACAACCTGTATCCCAAGGTCAAATAAGCCTCTTCCTTCCTGGAAGGGCAGCCTCCTGCCCAGGCCCCATGGCCCTGGAGCTTCAATAAATTGTCCCTCTGGTTGACTGGGGAAAAAAAAAAGTGGGGAGGGGTGCAGAGGTCTTACCAGATCAGTGAAGTACCTACCCCAAGGTGGGGAGGGGATGAAAACTTATTTGGTGCATGAGGATCAAAGACCGTGTGGACTTGGACCCAGTCTTGGCACTTTGCACACCCTGAGTCCTTCACATTAGGGTTCATAACCTTGTAGCTAAGTGGGTCCAGGGGTGTGTCTGGTTCACCCTTGGCCTTGGCCTCCTGGACCTAGAGGCCAAAATGCTCCACTTTGGTCCTAGGGGACACTGTCGCTGTTTACCAATGAGGCTGGAGGCATCTTAGATGACTTGATTGTAACCAATACTTCTGAGGGGCACCTGTATGTGGTATCCAATGCTGGCTGCTGGGAGAAAGATTTGGCCCTCATGCAGGTACACCCCCTCTGTGTTCTAAGTACCTTGTCTTCCTTGTTCATACAGCAGCATCCTTGTTGTCCAGGACAGGGTTGGTGCAGACAAGGGGCCTGGAAAATGGCTTTTTGAGTGAATGAATAGCTATGAGACTTCAGAGCAGGCCCTCTGGAGCATGCCAGAGTTTGGTGGTGGGGGATTGCCGGGGATGGGGAAGGGGGCCTTGGCCCCTCTGGTGAGGGTGTGAGGTAGCAGACCTGGGCTTGGGTGACCTTGTAAGATGGGAATCAGCCCACCACCTTTTTTTCCCCACTTCCTTCTCCTTTCCACTATCTTACTACTGTCCAGCTCTACAGTGTCCAGCCCATGGTAGGTGCTCAGTAAGTGGCCCCAGATGTTCATGTGGTGTTTCTGTCTTTTAGGACAAGGTCAGGGAGCTTCAGAACCAGGGCAGAGATGTGGGCCTGGAGGTGCTGGATAATGCCCTGCTAGCCCTGCAAGGTGAGAGGGCGGGGCTGAGGTTGGGGCCAGCCTTTGCCTTCCTGGATTCATTGACTGCTTAGCACAGAGGCCGTACCAAGGAGGTATAGGAAGTGTGATATTTGTGTGCCATAATTTTAAGTTTGCTATCTTGCCCTCCTCCTACCCACCACAAGACTTTATGGGCTAGGGACAAGGCCATCTTTTCCATTTGCAGAGTAAGACTTGCTCAGGGCGTGTTCTGGTCCCTGAATAAGGCCTTAGTCCAGCTTTGAGGGGTGCCAGGACCTGGATACTTGGTCACTGGCTCCCTGGGCCCAGGCCCCACTGCAGCCCAGGTGCTACAGGCCGGTGTGGCAGATGACCTGAGGAAACTGCCCTTCATGACCAGTGCTGTGATGGAGGTGTTTGGTGTGTCTGGCTGCCGTGTGACCCGCTGTGGCTACACAGGAGAGGACGGTGTGGAGGTGTGTCAAGAAGTGGATGTAGGAGGCAGAACAGGGTATGAGATGGGGGTGAGGGGTAGGGGGTGTGCAGTACAGGAAGCTTCTCATCTGCCCTCTGGTGTTTCATACAGATCTCGGTGCCAGCAGCGGGAGCTGTTCACCTGGCAACAGCTCTTCTGGAAAACCCAGAGGTGAAGCTGGCAGGGTTAGCCGCCAGGGATAGCCTGCGCCTAGAGGCAGGCCTCTGCCTGTATGGGAACGATATTGATGAACATACTACACCTGTGGAGGGCAGCCTCAGTTGGACACTGGGTGAGCTGGACCAGCACTAAAGGGATGGGGTTCTGGAAGTTGGGGTGACCCTTAAGACTAGCCAGCCCATGACTCCTCCTAAGGTTGTGTAGGAGCAAGTGACTCAGCCTTCCTGAGCCTCCTTTCCCTGAAGGTGCTACTGTGGCTTTGCCCTTTAGAAACTGAAGATGCTCAGCAGGTGGGCAGTATGGCCTTTAGAAGGTAGGAGGTGGTTGGTTGGCTGACTCACGGCAGTCCACGGGAGGAATAGAGCTTGGAGTAGCCCAAGCAAAGGGGTTGTGATGCTAGATGGGTGTTACTTGAAGTCCTCATAAGGGCCTCTGGTGGCCAGGGCTTCTATGTGCTGTGGCTTATGTTTCATGTGTCATTCTCCAGGTAAGCGCCGCCGAGCTGCTATGGATTTCCCTGGAGCCAAGGTCATTGTTCCCCAGCTGAAGGGCAAGGTGCAGCGGAGGCGTGTGGGCTTGATGTGTGAGGGGGCCCCGATGCGGGCACACAGTCCCTATCCTGAACATGGAGGGTACCATGATTGGTAGGTGAACCAGGGAAGCTGGGAAGCCCTGTCTCTTCCCCAGGAGGGTGGGGGCACTTGCAGGATAGTGCTGACGCATGGCTTATACTTGACAGGTACTGTGACTAGTGGATGCCCCTCACCCTCTCTGAAGAAGAATGTAGCTATGGGTTACGTGCCCTTCGAGTATAGTCGTCCAGGGACAAAGCTGATGGTAGAGGTGCGGCGAAAGCAGCAGATGGCTGTGGTCAGCAAGATGCCCTTTGTGCCCACGAACTACTATACCCTTAAATGAGGATGGCTCAGGGTAGGGCTGTCCCCTCCAGGAATCTACAAGGGGTTAGTCAAGAAGCTGATGCAGAACTCACTAGGGGTGGGCAGCTAAGGTGGAGGCTGATTTTAATTGTCTGGTTGAGGGGCCATGCCACCTATTTTCTCCACCTAACTCATGCCACTCCAGCTTCCTTCAGGACCCTGCTTCTGAGTGATAGACCAGCTCACACAATGTCTTGTTTTAGTCCACGATCCCACTGACCTACTCTTACCTGCTAGAGGGTATTAAGAAGCTTTGGTTCTGCCATCTCTTCCACCCTGCCAGGTGCTGGCTGTGGAGCAAAGGCTTACCTTTGTGGGAAGGATAAAACCTGACCAACCTACCTCACCATGGTTTTTCACATTGCAAAGGGTAGTAACACGGGCAGTGTGGACTCAGGCTATCCTCTCCAGTTTGCTTTCCATAAATGCAAATCGTCCCTACTGCCAGTCAGAAATAATTGCTGACTCATAGTAGGGCTGCTATGCCTGTGTGTAAACTTGGGGATGGCTGAGAGAACACTGATTTACTCTTCCACATTTCCAAGTTGGTCTAGTGTGCTGCCCAGTAGCAAACCATGGCAGGCTCACCACCTGTTCTGAGCTCCAGGGCTGTTGTAGGGCAGGGTGAGCTTCCTCCTGGACTTGCCTTACCCTAGGCTGACCTTTGCCCCAGTATTCATTAATGGACTCCACTGAATCCTGAAAGAAAAATTAAAATTCCTTCTGCACTGGCATGGATGAGGAAAAATAAAATAAAAAAATTAAACTTCCTTTTTACTTGTCAGTCTCTAGCTTCATTGTTCTTTGTTCACAGGTTTCCTGAAATGCCAACCCAATGCCTGCTTTCCTGACTTCCAAGACAAGCTTAGAATAGGTTCCCCTTGAAAGGGGCCAGTCTATGAATGGAGATATTGCCCCTGTTGGGCACCCCATCACTGCTCCTCCAGGAAGCCGGCATCACCTCTCCCCTCCCTGCAAGTTACTGCATCTGGGTACCAACGGGGAACAGCCTCCAGGATGTTCCCTCTCTCACTGCCCCTGTGCATGCACACGCTTGTTCTGTCTGAATAACCACAACAACCAATGCCCTTCCATGTTTAATAAGCCACATCCTCAGTTAAGCCTGGGGTGAAATGTGAGACCCTGATTCTGTGTGGTAGTATTAGAGGGTTGGCCTGGGGCTGTGAAGACCATCATCCTCAGTATAGCTGAAACTCCAGTGCACCTCTACCACAAAGATGGCTTAGGCAAAGGTAGCCAGATGCAAGTGTGACATCCAGCAGAGGGGAAGTAGGCAGGGGTCACTAAAGTGGCTGGTGGCCCAGCAGATGGAGGCAGAAGTATGGCCATCAGGGAAGGAGGCAGGTCCAGGGTTACAGTGCTTTCAGGTACTGGTGTTTCTTTTCTTTTTTTTTTTTTTTAACATATTGCTGAGTCCTGATGAAAGGTACTGGTGTTTCTATAGGGGCATTTGTCACCCACACCTTTGGAAACTCCCCTGGCCTTTTGTGACATGGCAGGACTGCCTGGTTCGTAAAGGTGGAGATGCTAGTGGGGAAGAGCTGAGCCTCTGGGGTGGTTTGTACCAGGTCTAGATGGGAAATGATGAGGCTGCAGGCTATGATGGGGCCACTGCACTAACTGCTTGGTACCATCCTATGAGGGGAAAAGGTACAGACTCAAGTTCCCATAGGCACTTAAGCATTGCGGGGTAGGAGGCCACCTCCGGGGTTCAGCTGTGCTCCTTGAGGCACCCAGCTTACCCCCAAGAAGGACTGATAGGAACATGAATAGGACGGTTGGCAGATGACAATTTCCTTTGCCTGGCTCACAGAAGTCTGGTTGGGCCAGGGATGTGGGTGTTTGGTGCCTCCATCTGGATGGTGCCTGCAGGGACACCACACTGCCTTATACCTGAATGGCCAGCTAAGTAACCACAGAGCTTGTGGTCTGGCTCAGGTCAGGATTCCCTGGCTCCTTGCCAACAAAGCAAAATGAGATTCAGAAAACGCAGGGCTTAGGAGAAAACAGACCTGCCTTACAAACCCCAGAGCTGGTTAACCTCAGGCTTCCTCTCAGTAATTATTTTTTTTTGACACGGAGTCTTGCTCTGTCACCCAGGCTGGAGTACAATGGCACAATGATATTGTCTCACTGCAACCTCTGACTCCCAGGTTCAAGCAATTCTCCTGCCTCAGCCTCCAGAGTAGGTGGGGTTACAGTCACCTGCTACCATGCCTGGCTAATTTTTGTATTTTTAGTAGAGATGGGGTTTCAACATGTTGGTTAGGCTGGTCTTGAACTCGTGACTTTGTGATCTGCCTGCCTTGGCCTCCCAAAGTGTTGAGATTACAGGCGTGAGCCACCGCAACCGGCCAACTCAGGAAAAATTTTTATGGGGTTATATTTCAGGGGGATGTGAAGAGGGACAGAAAAAGAAACTCAAGACAAAAGAACTGTTGGCCTTCCCAGCTCAGAGGCTTCCTGAGTTGTCACCCCTGAAAGAGGAGGAACACAATTTCTCTACTTAAGGCACCCAGTAAAGGTACAGGCAAACTCTTCACTTGCCCATTGCCTGGGCAAGGGAGCAAGGCCAAGGGGCAGAGGAGGCTCAGCCCTGCAGGCACTGGGGTACTCCCTGCTACCAACCCTGAACCCCCGGCGGTTGTCCCTGGGGTCTGGTAAGCAGCAGAACTCAGTGTAGAAGCCAGCAGACCCAGTGATGCCATTGGAGACCCTCTGCTGCCTTCCCTTATTCTCTGTGGGTTTTGACAGGTTCGTTTGCTGCCGTTTCCCTGAAAGTGATGGAGAGAGAGAGGGGGGTTATTCCATAGGCAGAACAGTAGCTGAAATTGGCTCTCCCCAACTCCTTGGGGGCTAAGCTAGGCTCAGTAAGGTCACATAACAATCTAGACCTCTCTACTGATTCCCACAGCCTGCCTGGGGCCTAGCACCTTCTCCCTGCAGACCCATTCTTCCTCCTGGTTCTCCATGTTAGTATGGCATTGCTATCCTTCTCTAGTTTTTTTTTATTCTTTTCATTTATTATTATATATATATATATTTTTTTTTTTTTTTGAGATGGAGTTTTGCTCTTGTTACCCAGGCTGGAGTGCAATGGCGCGATCTCGGCTCACTGCAACCTCCGCCTCCTGGGTTCAGGCAATTCTCCTGCCTCAGCCTCCTGAGTTGCTGGGATTACAGGCACGAGCCACCATGCCCAGCTAATTTTTTGTATTTTTAGTAGAGACTGGGTTTCACCATGTTGACCACGATGGTCTCGATCTCTCGACCTCGTGATCCACCCGCCGTGGCCTCCCAAAGTGCTGGGATTACAGGCTTGAGCCACCACGCCCAGCCTATTATTATTATTAATCTTTTTCTTTTTTTGAGATGGAGTTTCATTCTTGTTGCCCAGGCTGGAATGCAATGGTGAGATCTCTGCTCACTGCAGCCTCTACCTCCTGGGTTCAAGCAATTCTTCTGCCTCAGCTTCCCAAGTAGCTGGGATTAGAGGCGCCCGCCAACACACCCAGCTAATTTTTATATTTTTAGTAGAGACAGATTTTGCCATATTGGCCAGGCTGGTCTTAAACTCCAGGCCTCCGGTGACCTACCCTCCTCAGTCTCTTGAAGTGTTGGGATTACAGGCGTGAACCACCATGCCCTGCCTATTATTTATTTTATTATTTTTTTTGAGACACAGTTTTGTTCTTATTGCCCAGGCTGGAGTGCAATGGTGTGATCTCAGCTCACTATAACTTCTGCCTCTTGGGTTCAAGCGATTCTCCTGCTTCAGCCTCCCATTTAGTGGGGATTACAGGTGTGCACCACCACACCTGGCTATTTTTGTATTTTTAGTATAGACAGGGTTTCTCCATGTTGGTCAGGCTGGTCCTGAACTCCCAACCTCAGGTGATCTGCCTGCCTCGGCCTCCCAAGGTGCTGGGATTACAGGTGTGAGCCACCGCACTCGGGCTATTTTTATTTTTGAGACAGAGTCTCACTCTGATGCCCAGGCTAGAGTGCAGTGCCTCGATCTCGGTTCACCGCAACCTCTGCCTCCTGGGTTCAAGTAATTTTCAGGCCTCAGTCTCCTGAGTAGCTGGGATTACAGGCATATGCCACCATGCCCACTTAATTTTTTTCTAGTACAGACAGAGTTTCACTATGTTGGCCAGGCTGGTCTCAAACTCCTGACATCAAGGATTTGTCCATTGTGGCCTCCCAAAGTGCTGGGGTTACAGGTGTGAACCACCAGTCCCAGCCTCTTCTCTAAGACAGAAACCTGGGCAGTGGCAGCCTTTCTAACTGACCTTTAGCCCTCACTCTTGGACCCCTTTATCTACTTGCCACGAAGTAGGCAGTTATAAAGGCAAATTAGATCAGACCACGGCCTTGCTGAGTTAAGTCTTTCAATTGCTCCTAGGGTCCAACAAGCTTTCACGTTCAAGCTCCAGCATCACAGTCTCATCTATTCTTCTACTATGTCACCCTTATCCTTCCGTTTTAACCTTGCTCTATCCATTCCCTTTGCATGGTATACTTTGTCACCCTGTGGCCTTTGATCTCAGCTTAGGTGTCTTTCTTTGGAGAAGCCCTGACCACCCTTGCCCCATGCACTGCTACCCTCCCCTAATAAATTCCTGGCTCCCCCTGAGCAGGGCCCGGGATTGTCTTTGTTCTCTGGGCCTAGTGTGGCCCCCACCATGTGATAGGGGCCCAGAGATTATCTTCGTGAATGCCCTGATTAGTGAGGCCATGTTTTGCAGAAGAGGAGGCTGACCCTGATGAGGTGAGTGTGCTAAGGACAGAGATTCCTGCCTTCCCAACTGAGGGGATTGTGTTGAGTGGAATCCAACAAACCTGCCATCTCTTTGAAATTATGACAATTCATCTCTTTGGAATTATGACAATACCACCACCCATCCTACAGGCTGCTGAACAGCATGCTGATGGACTGTCTAGACCCTGGTGTCATCCAAACTTGAAGCCTGAGCTCTATGTGCAGACTTGAAGCTTCCTGCAAAGGCCATTAAGCTGGTGGGCTTATAGCCTGAGAACTCCCCTCTCTGTCACCAGGACAGGAGTGTCCTTGGAACGCCAAGCATGGGGGTGCGGTATGGACAGATTTACTCACCAGGAAGGGAAATGCGTGGAGCCATCAGGCGTGGATCCATTCTGACCACCCAGACCTGGAGGCAAAAACACATCCAGGGCTGCAGCAGGCTGGGGTGGGGATCTGAGCAGGTATCAGCCCAGGTCAGGTTAGAGGCCACTGGTATTTTTTGGTGGAGTCTGGTGAGGGTCCTAAGGGACTAATGGTATTGTCAGGTGAGAGTTCAGAGCAATAGATACAAGGCGATGGGTGGACTGGTGGGATTCTGACGTAAAATGGTATGGTGGCATGAGTCATGGTACGTTAGGTCCTCCAACCCAAGTAGCTTCCGAGGTCAAATACATTCAGGGTGGTAAGGCCGTGAACCAATACTAAAATCTCATGAGCCTCTTGCAGGATAGTGGGGAACCCAATGGTACAGTTCAGAGAGGGTAGCGGCGGGGGCAGCCAGCCCACGGAGGTTCGTAGGGAGCCTCACCTGGACGGTGATACAATCCGGTCACCGTATTCCCGTAGAACCCCCACGCCAGCTGGATGCCCAGGAGACTTAACACCAACCACAGCAGCAACAACTTGAAGAGGGTCACGCGCATGTCCTGTGCCTCCCACTCCCGCAAGAACTCGCTGCCCAGCGCGCCCAGCGCGCCCAGCACCGTGGCCGGCAGAGCCTGCAAGGCCTGCCCAGACCAGGGTTCCGCCATGACTGGCCCACGCCCCACCCGTGGTACTGTCACCGTAGTCCCCCTGACGCAGGCGTGCGGTCTTCCGTGGCCCGGCCCCTTAGTGCGCACGCGTAAATTGAGGCAGGGAGGGGACTACTTCGCATGCGTGAAGAGTTGGCAGTTTGGGGAGGAGTATTAAAACCGCGCACGCGCACCTAGGCCCACCCAGCTTGCTTAAGGGATGAACGACTCCAGGAGCACAAAATAGCAACCAGGTCTTTTATAGCCCCAGAGTTCCCGTGATGCCCCACGCGACTGCAATGATTGGTTAAGCGTTTTGCTTTTGGGGCGTGGATGCGCGTCTGAGCAATCGTGGATGAGCTGTGAGTGCGCGCGCGTGCGCGGGGCCGCGAACGGGGCCGGCTCGAGCCCGCTGGGCACTCGGGGGCGCGCACGTCGTTCCCCGCCCTCCCGCCGCCGCCCGCCCTCGCTCCCTCGCGCTCCCCTCCCGCTGCCCGCGGTCCTCCGTCGGTTCCGTCGTTAGTCTGCGATCTCGTCTTAAGCTGCCCATCTTCGTCTCCGAGCTTGCGACTCGCAGACCGGCGTCCCCGGCGCAAAGAGGCTGGACTCCGATTCGTTGCCTGAGGTGAGCAGAAGGGTTCCCTCCAGGCGCCGCGGCGCCCCAGGCCGGCCCGCCCGGCACTCTTCCGGCCCGCAGGCCGCCGCCCCGCCGCGGCCGCGCCCCACCGGCTGCTTCTGGCCCAGCCACCCCTGGCTCCTGACCCTTGACCTGACTCCTAGCCCCGGCCCCGCACCCCAAAGCGGCGACCCCGCCCGCGCAGTCCCCGGAAGCGCGCCCCGTAGTCTCCACTGCCCCTTCCCCCGCCCGGCCTGGCCTGGTGGAGCCCAAGCCGCCCTCCCGCCCTCGGTCCCGGGCGCTTCCTCTCCCGGCAGCGCCGGGCAGGGCGGGGGCTCTAGGCCGGGCCCCGCGACCGCGCACTGTGGCCGGTCGCCGAAAGCGCGCGTGGCTGTTGGAGTTGAAATGGGAAAGAAACTCTTTACAACTCCATTTGCCTTTTGCATTTAACGAAAAAACGTGAATCACCGTTTTATATTGATTGAAGTCCAGTTATACTTTGCGTAGGTTTTCTTTTAATGCAGATTTCTTTAAGACTGTAAGTAAAAGACTGTATTGAAAGCTTAGGGGTCTGGTATATGGCCATATCACCCCGAACGCGCCCGAACTCGCCTGAAAGCTTTGGGGTCTGTGTTGAGTGGAAAAGGGGTTATTTTCCAGTTGAAAAAAAAACAAACTGTAAGTGATTTAAGCGATGTTGCATGAAAATAGATGCAGTATGCTTAGTCTAAGTCACTGTATTGATTAGGAATCACCTAAACATCTGTATCTTAGTTACTGATTGGATCTACAGTTACAGGTCATCTTCATTGAATAGCACTATTTACATCCAAATTGATTTGTTCACAAACCATGTTTAGTAGTTTACTGTGAAAAATTGGAATCCTTTTTACCTCAGAGTTGGTTACACTTGTGTTTTTTAATAGTTCTAATTTTAAATTTCTACCTCTGTTTTTGACTTGTTTGGTTCTTTTTGTCTCGAAGAAAGTCTTTTAAAATACACGTTTCTTGCAGGTGTGTAAGCCGATTATGTTTCACTCTGCCTTTCTGAAGGAGAAAAAATTGAAAAACCAAAAACTTCCATAATTTCAAATGTTGTCTGTAGTGGGAATTTTTCAGCCACTTGGTGTCACCCACCCAGATGTGTAATGTGTACCATGTGGATGATTGTCACCTTAAATGTGGCTAGATTGGCGGAGATACTGTTTTGAGCATTTGGCACAAGTGACATTGGACTGAAAAAAGCCTGGTTTTTAATTGTTTTTTTGAGACGGAGTTTCACTCTTGTTACCCAGGCTGGAGTGCAATGGCGCGATCTCGGCTCACCGCAACCTCCGCCTCCTGGGTTCAAGCAATTCTCCTGCCTCAGCCTCCTGAGTAGCTGGGATTACAGGCACGTGCCACCATGCCCAGCTAATTTTTTGTATCTTTTTAGTAGAGACAGGGTTTCACCATGTTGACCAGGATGGTCTCGATCTCTTGACCTCGTGATCCACCCGCCTCGGCCTCCCAAAGTGCTGGGATTACAGGCTTGAGCCACTGCACCCGGCCTGACTCGTTTTTAATTGTAAAGAATGACTTCTTGAAGGATCTCTGGATAACTTGTCTTAATTGGTTCCATCTACTTTTGTGGAGCACTACTGGCTCTTGGAGGCATTAAATATATAAGATGCACTTTGATTTGAGTTAATGTCTAGCGCTAGACTTACGCTCTCTGTTCTCATAAAAATCTGTGTTGGAGGGAAGAAGAGAGTAAGAATGCTTTGTAGTTCTTGAATTTTAGATTGAAGAGGAATCTTTCGGGACTGGGTGTCCAGCAAATGATGTCAGACCCTATTTGCCGACGAGCAAAGTGAGTCCCAGAGACTTAAGGAAATTTCCCATGATTATATATCTAGTCAGGAGCACACCACAACTGTCTTCTCTTTTAAGGTATTATTTTCCATTGACTCCCAATCAGTTGGCCTGCAGAGTCAGCTGAAATTCAGGACTTCCAGCTTATTCCAGTGTTCCTCCTTTTACACCTTGTTGATGGTGAATAGTTCTGAAAATTCAGAACTGTAAGAAATTCTATTCTGTTCAAATTCAGAACTGTAAGTAAAAGGCTATATTGAAAGCTTATGGGTGCCGGGTGCGGTGGCTCACGCCTGTAATCCCAGCACTTTGAGAGGCTGAGGCGGGTGGATCACAAGGTCAAGAGATCGAGACCATCCTGGTCAACATGGTGAAACCCCATCTCTACTAAAAATAAAAAACATTAGCTGGGCATGGTGGCACGTGCCTGTAATCCCAGCTACTCAGGAGGCTGAGGCAGGAGAATTGCCTGAACCCAGGAGGCGGAGGTTGCGGTGAGCCGAGATCGAGCCATTGCACTCCAGCCTGGGTAACAAGAGTGAAACTCCGTCTCAAAAAAAAAAAAAGAAAAGAAAAGAAAAAAAAGCTTATGGGTCTGATGTACGGCCATACCACCCTGAACCAGTCTGAAAGCTTTGGAGTCTATAGTGAGTGGAATAGGGGTATTTTCCAGTTGGGGAAAAACAAAACTGTAATGAATAGAATCTGAAAAATTCACTTGCCAAACAAATTTCAGTTCATTAGCTTTCTTTCACAGCGTTCTCTCCTTGTTAAGTGGATGGTCCTGCCTTCAACTGAGGGAGCTAGATGAATGTACAAGGGTCCCTGACTGGCCTAATCATGGCTTTAAGTGTTTGGATTTTTTTTAAGAGACCAACTTTTTTTTTTTTTTTTTTTTTTTTTTTTAGGCGGAGTTTTGCTCTTGTTACCCAGGCTGGAGTGCAATGGCGCGATCTCGGCTCACCGCAACCTCCGCCTCCTGGGTTCAGGCAATTCTCCTGCCTCAGCCTCCTGAGTAGCTGGGATTACAGGCACGCACCACCATGCCCAGCTAATTTTTGTATTTTTAGTAGAGACGGGGTTTCACCATGTTGACCAGGTTGGTCTCGATCTGTCGACCTCGTGATCCAACCGCCTCGGCCTCCCAAAGTGCTGGGATTACAAGCTTGAGCCACCGCGCCCAGCCAAGGGACCAACTTTTAAAGCAAGGCCCACACTTCACTGCTTCAAAACCAAGGTATTTGGGTCAGGCTAAGATATATATATATATATATATATATATATATATATATGTATGTATATGTATTTGCTCAGGACATGCTGGAAAGGCTAAGATAGTTTTAGGTAACTGTGGGCACTTTTAACTATTGATTTGGGGTACTGCATAGATCAAGTAAACAGTTCCCTCTGCACATGTATGTGATGGTGGAGTATTTTCATAGTCTTGATTTCTTTCCATTTGTCAGTTAACTCCTTTTAAAGGTTTATTCTGGTCATGTGGGGGTGTAAGTTATTAGGACAGTAAAACAGGTAGCTCTTCAAGTGTTTCTTGTCCATGGGGTGGAGTCCACACAGTGACTAAAGAAGGCGCTAGTTTGTGTCTTCTTTTTTTTTTTTGAGACGGAGTTTCGCTCTTGTTACCCAGGCTGGAGTGCAATGGTGCACCGCAACCTCCGCCTCCTGGGCTCAAGCAATTCTCCTGCCTCAGCCTCCTAAGTAGCTGGGATTACAGGCACGCGCCACCATGCCCAGCTAGTTTTTTGTATTTTTGGTAGAGAAGGGGTTTCACCATGTTGACCAGGATGGTCTCGATCTCTTGACCTCGTGATCCACCGCCTGGGCCTTCCAAAGTGCTGGGATTACAGGCTTGAGCCACCATGCCCGGCCAACTTTTTTTTAAAAGATGGGGTTTCATCATATTGGTCAGGCTGGTCTCAAACTCCTGACCTCAGGTAATTCACCTGCCTCAGCCTCCCAAAGTGCTGGGATTATAGGCGTGAGCCACTGCGCCTAGCTTTTTTTTTTGTTTTTGAGATGGAGTTTTGCTCTTGTTGCCCAGGCTGGAGTGCAATGGTGCCATCTCAGCTCAACAAAACCTCCGCCTCCTGGGTTCAAGCAATTCTACCTAAGTCTGCCAAGTAGCTGGGATTACAGGCACAAGCCACCATGTCCAGCTAATTTTTTGTCTTTTTAGTAGAGACGGGAGTATTACCATGTTGGCCAGGCTGGTATCAAACTCCCATCTTGTGATCCACCCTCCTCGGCCTCCCAAAGTGCTGGGATTACAGGCGTGAGCCACTGGGCCTGGCCTCTATTTTTATTATTTTTAAGATGGAGTCTCACTTTGTTGCCAGGATGGAGTGCAGTGAGTGGTGTGATCTCCGCTCATTGCAACTTCTGCCTCCCTGGTTCAAGCGATTCCCCTGCCTCAGCCTCTGGGAGTAATGGGATTACAGTCGCCTGCTAGCAAGCCTGATTAACTTTTTTAAATTTTTTAATTTTTTTTTTGAAATGGAGCCACCCGGCCTGGCCTTAATTTTTGTATTTTTAGTAGAGACAGGGTTTCACCGTGTTGGCCAGGCGGGTCTCGACCTTCTGACTTTACATGATCTGCCCGCCTTGGCCTCCTGGAATGTTGGGATTTCAAGTGTGAGCCACTACAGCCTGCCGGAAGAGAGATTATTATTAATGTAAATTCTAGGGAAATATGGGCATTCTCTTGTCCACTGATTTTGAGACCTTTGTATTACTCCGGAACTTTTCTCTGTACTTAACTTTTCTACTTCTCCATAAGATAGTTCTCTAACTTCCTGTCTGTTTTCTAAGCAACATACTCTTACTTAGATCAAGATGTATTTCCAAACTTCTCCCTTGCTTAACCTTTACAGAGATGAACTCACTGTATTACATACATACTTCTCTTACTCTGGACCATTCCCAGCTTATCCCTACTTTTCTTTCTTTCTCTTCTTCTTCTTCTTCTTCTTCTTTTTTTTTTTTTTTTTTTTTTTTTGAGACGGAGTGTTTCACTCTTGTTGCCCAGGCTGGAGTGCAATGGCGCGATCTCGGCTCACCGCAACCTCCGCCTCCTGGGTTCAGGCAGTTCTCCTGCCTCAGCCTCCTGAGTAGCTGGGATTACAGGCACGCGCCACCATGCCCAGCTAATTTTTTTGTATTTTTAGTAGAGACGGGGTTTCACCATGTTGACCAGGATGGTCTCGATCTCTTGACCTTGTGATCCACCCGCCTCGGCCTCCCAAAGTGCTGGAATTACAGGCTTGAGCCACCGCGCCCGGCCCTTTTTTTTTTTTTTTTTTAAGAGATGGGGACTTGCTTTGTTGCCCAGGCTGGAGTACAGTGGCTGTTCACAGGCACAATCCCACTACTGATCAGCACAGGAGTTTTGACCTGCTGTGTTTCTGACCTGGGCCAGTTCACCCCTCTTTAGACAACCTGGTGGTCCCCTGCTCCTGGGAGGTCACCATATTGATGCCTAACTTAGTGTGGACACCCGATCAGCATAGTGCACTACAGCCCAGAACTCCTGGGCTTGAGCGATCCTCCCACCTCAGCCTTCCAAGTAGCTGGGACTACAGGTACACACCATTGCCACCCGGCCTTACCCCTACTTTTCTTCTTCTTTTTTTTTTTTGAGATAGAGTTTTGCTCTGGAGTGAAGCGGCAACCTCCCAGGTTTAAGCAATTCTTCTGCCTCAGTCTCCCGAGTAACTGGGATTACAGGTGCGTGCCACCACACCCAGCTAATTTTTGTATTTTTAGTAGAGACGGGGTTTCAATAGGTTGCCCAGGCTGGTCTTGAACTCCTGACCTCAGGTGATTCGCCCGCCTCCATCTCCCAAAGTGCTGGGATTATAGGCGTGAGCCACGGCGCCTGGCCAGGCCTTTTCTTTATTTTTTTGATTGAGTGGGCTGATGATCTTACAGTTTACTCTCTGCACTGTGGATGTGTCAACATGAATCAATTAAAGAATGAGGATCCGGCCGGGCGTGGTGGCTCAAGCCTGTAATCCTAGCACTTTGGGAGGCCGAGGCGAGTGGATCACGAGGTCAAGAGATCTAGACCATCCTGGTCAACATGGTGAAACCCCGTCTCTACTAAAAATACAGAAGAAATTAGCTGGGCATGATGGCGCATGCCTGTAATCCCAGCTACTCAGGAGGCTGAGGCAGGAGAATTGCCTGAACCCAGGAGGCGGAGGTTGCAGTGAGCCGAGATTGCACCATTGCACTCCAGCCTGGGTAACGAGTGAAACTCCGTCTCAAAAAAAAAAAAAAAAAAAAAAAGAGGATCAAGCCAGGTGCGGTGGCTCATGCATGTAATACCAGCACTTTGGGAGGCCTAGGCGGGTGGATCACTTGAGGTAAGGAGTTGGAGACCAGCCTGGACAACCTGGTGAAACCCTGTCTCTACAGGCATGCCTGTAGTCCCAGTTACTCGAGAGGCTGAGGCAGGAGAATTGCTTGAACCCAGGAGTTAGAGCAGGCGTCCCCAAACTATGGCCCACAGGCCGCATGCGGCCCCCTGATGCCATTTATCCGGCTCCCCACCGCACTCTTTCATTGGTGGTCAGTGAGAGGAGCACAGTATGTGGCGGCCCTCCAACGGTCTGAGGGACAGTGAACTGGCCCCCTGTGTAAAAAGTTGGGGGACGCCTGAGTTAGAGGTTGCAGTGAGCTGAGACTGTCCCGTTGCACTCCAGCGTGGGCAACAGACAGAGTGAGATTCCGTCTCAAAAAAAGAAATAAATGAGGATCAGGGCAATTTCTTCTCTTACCAGAAAGGTCAGCAGTAATACTAGCTTGGTAGGGAGCAGTGTAAACAGCAAGCGCAACTTCTATGCAGGGACTGTGCAGATAGGTAATTTTTTTTTTTGGAGATGGAGTCTCACTCTGTTGCCCAGGCTGGAGCGCAGTAGAGCCATCTCAGCTCGCTGAATCTTCCACCTCCCAGGTTCAAGTGATTCTCCTACCTTAGCCTCTCAAGTGGCTGGGACTACAGGCGTGTGCTACCACACCTGGCTAATTTTTGTATTTTTAGTAAAGATGGGGTTTCACCATGTTGGTCATGTTGGTCTCAAACTTCAGACCTCAGGTGATCCACCCACTTTGGCCTCCCAAAGTGCTGGGATTACAGAGGTCAGTTTCCACATCCAGCCCAGACATTTAAATTTTTGATTATTTTGAGACAGGGTCTAGGTTACCCAGGCTTAAGCACTGTGGCATGGTTATGGCTCACTGCAACCTCAACCTTCTGGACTCCAGTGACTTTCCCACTTCAGCCTCCTGATTAGCTGGAAACACAGCATATGCCACCATGTCCAGCTAGTTTTTTAATGATAAAGATGGGGTTTCACCATGATGGCCAGGCTGGTCTTGAACTCCTGACCTCAGGTGATCCACCTCGGCCTCCCAAAGTGCCAGGATTATAGGCATGAGCCACCGCGCCCGGCCTCTTTTTTTTTTTTTTAAATAAATGAGATGGGGTTTCACCATGTTGGTCAGACTGGTCTCAAACTCCTGACCTCAGGTGATCCACCCACCTCGACCTCCCAGAGTGCTGGGATTATAGGCGCGAGCCATCTCGCCTGGCTCTTCCCAGCTAGTTTTTGATGTTTTGTTTTTTTGATAGATGGGCTTTTGCTGTGTTGCCCAGGCTGGTCTTGAACTCCTGAGCTCAAGTGATCCCCCTGCCTCAGCCTCCGAAAGTGCTGGGATGAACGGTGTGAGCCACTGTGCCTGCTGTCAGATATTTAATTTTTTCCCTAATCTCTCACCTCTGGCTGAAATGTTGAGTTTTTTCTTTTTCTTTCTTTCTTTTCTTTTCCTTTTTTTTTTTTTTTTGTGAGATGGAGTCTCCTTTGTTGCTCATGCTGGAGTGCAGTGGTGCAATCTCAGTGCTCTGTATCCTCCGCCTCCCAGGTTCAAGCAATTCTCCTGACTCAGCCTCCCGAGTCCCTGGGAGAACAGGTGCACACCACCTTGCCCGACTAATTGTTTTTTTTTTGGAGATGGAGTTTCGCTCGTTACCCAGGCTGGAGTGCAATGGCTCGATCTCGGCTCACCGCAACCTCTGCCTCCTGGGTTCAGGCAGTTCTCCTGCCTCAGCCTCTGGAGTAGCTGGGATCACAGGCACTTAGAGATGGAGGTCTTCCTATGTTGCCCAGGTTGGAAGGCTGACTCATAGCATACTTACAGCCTTGAACTGCTGGGCTTAGGGGATCTTCTGACCTCAGCCTCTGAAGTAGCTGAGAGCTGCGATCACAGGCTTATGCCACCTTGACTGGTTCCAGAGGTTTTTTTCAAAATTTAATTAACTTTCTTAGAGACAGGGTCTCATTCTGTCACCCAGACTGGAGTACAGTGGTATCATCATGGCTTACCACAACCTTGAATTCTTGGGCTTAAGCAGTGTACCTGCGACAGCCTTTCAAGTAGCTGGCACTACAGGTGCAGGCCAGCATGTCCAGCTGTTCCTGCCCCCACCAGCCCCCCGCCTCACCGGCCCTGGAGATGGAGTCTTGCTTTGCCTCCCAGGCTGGAGTGTGGTGGTGGGATCTGCGCTCACTGCAGCCTCTGCCTCCTGGGTTCAAGCAATTCTTCTGTCTCAGCCTCCTGAGTAGCTGGGACTACAGGCACGACCACAATGCCCTGCTAATTTTTTGTCCTTTTAGTAGAGGTGGGGGTTTCACTGTGTTAGCCTGGATGGTCTTGATCTCATGACCTTGTGATCCACTTTCCTTGGCTTCCCAAAGTGGTGGGATTACAGGTGAGAGCCACTGCACCTGGCCAAATTTTGTATTTTTTGTAGAGACGGAGTTTCGCTTGTTGGTCAGGCTGGTCTCGAACTGCTGACATCAGGTGATCCTCCTGCCTCCTTGGCCTCCCAAAGTGCTGGGATTACAGTTGTCAGCCACTGTGCTCAGCCTTTTTTTTTTTTTAAATTGTAGCCACAGGGTCTCTCCATGTTGTCCAGGCTGGTATTAAATTCTTGGGGTCAAACAGTCCTCTTGCCTCAGCCTCCCACAGTGCCTTGATTATAGATTTGCGCCACTCTGTCCAGCCCATGAAATTTTGAAGTTTGTGCTCGCTTTGGCAGCACATATACTAAAATTGGAAAGCTACAGAGAAGATTAGCATGGCCCCTGTGAAAGGATGACACTCAGAATTGTGAAGCATTCCGTAATTTTGAAAAACTTCAAAAAAAAGAAATTTTGAATTTAATTAATAACATGATAAGAATCTTTGTCTTGTATTTTCTGCACACTAGTAGATGGAGAGGTGGAGATTTTTTTCCCGCTATTATCTGCTTGCATCACCTCTTTGTTTCCTTTTTTTTGAAGCAGTAGTCACTCTTGTCCAGGTTGCAGTGTAGTGTTGAGATCTCAGCTCACTGCATCCTCCATCTCCTGCATTCAGGCAATTCTCCTGCCTCAGCTTCCCATGTAGCTGGGATTATGGGTGTGTGCCACCATGCCTGGCTAATTTTTGTGATTTTAATGGAGACGGGGTTTCAGCATGTTGGCCAGGCTGGTCTCGAACTCCTAACCTCATGTAATTCTCCCATCTTGGCCTCTGGGCTGGCCCTTAACACCTTTTGAAAATGAAGGGTTCTTAAACAGCTCTATGTCAATTCTGTTGTGTGTATTTGGTGAACTGTGGCTGAGAGGCTGCAATTTTTAGGTCAGAAGCATTTATTTGATATGTACCAGCTATGCACACTTTATCTTACAAGCTTATTATTTAGAAAGTTACATTTTTCGTCACATTTTCCAATGTTACTTGATATTGCATCTTTTTTTTTTTTTTTTAACTCTTGTCTCCCAGCCTGGAGTGCCAACTCACTACAACCTCCACCTTCTGAGTTCAAGCAATTCTCGTGGCTTAACCTCTTGAGTAGCTCTATTACAGGCGCCCCCACCACCCCCAGCTAATATTTGTATATTAGAGAGACAGAGTTTTACCATGTTGGCCAGGCTGGTCTCAAAACTCCTGACCTTAGGCGATCTACCCGCCTTAGCCTCCCTAGAGTGCTGGGATTATGGGTGTGAGCTACTGCTCCTGGCCAAGATTTTTTCTTCTCTTTTTTTTTTTTTTGAGACTGAGTTTCACTCTTGTTACCCAGGCTGGAGTGCAGTGGCCTGAGCTTGGCACACTGCAACCTCTGCCTCCCAGATTCAAGTGATGCTCCTATCTCAGCCTCCCAAGTAGCTGGGATTACAAGCGCCCACCACTACACCTGGCGGATTTTTATGTTTTTAGTAGAGACAGGGTTTCACCATGTTGGGCAGTCTGGTCTCAAACTCAGCCTCAGGCAATCTGGCCACCTCGGCCTTCCAAAGTGTTGGGATTACAGGCGTGAGCCACTGTGCCCGGCCCATGCCCAGCTAATTTGTGTATTTTTAGTAGATAAGGGGTTTCATTATATTGACCAGGATAGTCTCTATCTCCTGACCTCAAGAGCCACCTGCCTCGGCCTCCCAAAGTGCTGGCATTACAAGTGTGAGCCACTGCACCTGGCTTTGTGTGTGTGTGTGTGTGTGTGTGTGTGTGTGTGTGTGTGTGTGGTTTTTGTTTTTTTTTTTTGAGTCAGAGTCTCATTCTGTCGCCAGGCTGGAATGCACTAGTGTGATTTTGGCTCACTGCCACCTCCACCTCCTAGGTTTGAGCAATTCTCCTGCCTCAGCCTCTCAAATAGCTGGGACTACAGGCATGTGCCACCACCCTGCCTGGCTAATTTTTGTATTTTTAGTAGAGACGGGGTTTCACTATGTTGTCCAAAATGGGCTCGATCTCTTGACTTCATGATTCGCCCACCTAAGCCTCATGAAGTGCTGGGATTACAGGGGTGAGCCACTGAGCCCAGCCTTCCCCCTACCCATTGATGGATTCTAGCTCTGTCGCCCAGGCTGGAATGCAGTGGCACGATCTTGGCTCACTGCAACGTCCGCCTCCCAGGTTCAGGTGATTCTCCTGCGTCAGCCTTCCAAGTAGCTGGGAAATGGGGTTTCACTATGTTGGCCAGGCTGGTCTCGAACTCCTGACCTCAGGTGATCCACCTGCTTCAGCCTCCCAAAGTGCTGGGATTACAGGTGGTAGCCACAGCTCCTGGCTCTTATTTATTCATTCATTTATTTTCGAGACAAATTCTCACTCTTGTCGCCTAGTCTGGAGTACAATGGCATGATCTTGGCTCACTGCAAGCTCCGCCTCCAGGTTCAAGTGATTATTCTGCCTCAGCCTCCCAAGTAGCTGGGATATCAGGCAGCTGCCACCACACCTGGCTAATTTTTCTATTTTTTTTTTTTTTTTTTTTTTTTTTTTTTTTGAGAAGGAGTTTCGCTCTTGTTACCCAGGCTGGAGTGCAATGGCGCGATCTCGGCTCACCGCAACCTCCGCCTCCTGGGCTCAGGCAATTCTCCTGCCTCAGCCTCCTAAGTAGCTGGGATTACAGGCATGTGCCACCACGCCCAGCTAGTTTTTGTATTTTTAGTAGAGACGGGGTTTCACCATGTTGACCAGGATGGTCTCGATCTCTCGACCTCGTGATCCACCCGCCTCGGCCTCCCAAAGTGCTGGGATTACAGGCTTGAGCCACCGCGCCCGGCCAATTTTTCTATTTTTAATAGAGATGGGGTTTCACCTTGTTGGTCAGGCTGGTCTCGAACTCCTGACCTCAGGCAGTCCGCCCATCTTGACCTCCCAAAATGCTAGAATTACAGGCGTGAGCCACCGCGCTTGGCCTAATTTATTTATTTTTTATAGAGATGAGGTTTTGCCATGTTGTCCAGGCTGGTCTTCAACTCCTGAGCTCAGTTCTCACAGTGTTGGGATTACATGTGTGAGCCACTGCATCTGACTAGTTTTTTTGTTTTAAGAAATATACATGCAGGCCGGGTGCGGTGGCTCAAGCCTGTAATCCCAGCACTTTGGGAGGCCGAGGCAGGTGGATCACGAGGTCCAAGAGATCGACACCATCCTGGTCAACATGGTGAAACCCTGTCTCTACTAAAAATACAAAAAAGTAGCTGGGCATGGTGGCACATGCCTATAATCCGAGCTACTCAGGACACTGAGGCAGGAGAATTGCCCGAACCCAGGAGGCGGAGTTGCGGTGAGTCGAGATCGTGCCATTGCACTCCAGCCTGGGTAACGAGCGAAACTCCGTCTCAAAAAAAAAAAGAAAGAAAAAAGAAATATATATACTGGGTAAAAGTAAAATTCTACAATAAGGTTTACGTTAAGCACATAGAAATTCTTAGCCAGCTCACTGGGGGCTACCTAATGGTTCATTCTTCTCTGTCAGTCTTGCCAGACGAGTACTGTCTTAAAGGAGACATAAGTTGAAAATTAGATCAAACAAAGTCAGATCCTGATTCTCTGTAACCATTGAAGGTTAACCTTATAATATTTATAGTATTAACTTAATATTATAATTAATTAAAATGTGAATTGGAATATAATATTTATAATAACCTTATAATATTTATTTTATTTTTTTGGTGCAGTGACTCGGATACAAATAATATTTAAAAAGATGGTTTCACGGCCAGGCGCGGTGGCTCAAGCCTGTAATCCCAGCACTTTGGGAGGCCAAGGTGGGTGGATCACAAGGTCAAGAGATCGAAACCATCCTGGTCAACATGGCGAAACCCCGTCTCTACTAAAAATGCAAAAAATTAGCTGGGCATGGTGGCGCGTGCCTGTAATCCCAGCTGCTCAGGAGGCTGAGGCAGGAGAATTGCCTGAACCCAGGAGGCGGAGGTTGCGGTGAGCCGAGATCGCGCCATTGCACTCCAACCTGGGTAACAAGAGCGAAACTCCATCTCAAAAAAAAAAAAATGATTTCACGCTCTTATTTAGGGAACTTGAAGGTATGTTACCTCAGGGAGTGTTCCTTACCTCTCTGTCCCCAAAGAACTTAAACTTGAAGTGATTTTTACTTGGCAGTCAGTTGAAGATTTTCTTCATTGCTTGCCACCATGTGCGTTACACCTGCTGCTCTTGATTTCCCAGTGCCCTTACTGCTATAGAAGGGAAAGCTCTTGAACTAACAGCAACCCTTGGCAGCCACTTGATCAGGGTAGCCAAATAATGGCAGTACAGTTTGAGCGTCTGAAATGCTTCAGAATCCTTTTTGGGTGCTGACATGGCATTCAAAGGAAATTCCTAGAGGAGCATTTTAAGCTTAGAATTTTTGGATTTGGGATACTGAACCAGTAAGTATAATGCAGATATTCCAAAGTCTGAAGAAATTCTGAAATCTGAAACACTTCCAGGTCCAAGCATTTTGGATAAGCAGTACTCCACCTATACCAGGCTCAAGTTCGTTATGGACAGATGGGTGGATGATAGTTTAGCTCTTTCACCAGGAATTTCCCATTCAGCCAGTAAACAAAATAAACAGCTTTATGTTTTCAACTTCATTTCCTTATTTTTAATTTTTTAAATATTTTTTGAGACAGAGTTTTGCTATTGTCATCCAGGCTGGAGTGCAGTGACGTTATTTTTGCTCACTGCAACCTCTGCCTCCTGTGTTAAAGTGATTCTCCTGCCTCAGCCTCCTGAGTGGCTGGGATTGCAGGCGCCCATCACCATGCCTGGCTAATTTTATTTTTGCGTTTTTGTAGAGATGGGATTTTGCCATGTTGGCTAGGCTGGTCTCAAACTCCTGATCTCAGGAGATCCGCCTGACGTGGCCTCCCAAAGTGCTAGGATTGCAGCTGTGAGCCTCTGCGCCTGGCTTTGTTTCTCAAATGTTTAATGGTGTTTCCTCTGTGCGAGGCACAGTCCTGGGTGTGGGTGAACTTGGAGTTGATAGATAGGCTAGGTTTCTACTAATTGGCATTGAAACAGTTTTGGGGTTTTATTTATTTTTAAATTTTTTTTCCCGTTTTGAGACAGTGTCTCACTCTGTTGCCCAGGCTGGAATACAGTGGTGCCATCTTGTCTCAGTGCAACCTCTGACTCTCAAGTTTAACCAATTATCTCACTGCGGCATCCGAAATAGCTTGGATTACAGCTGTGAGCTTTCACGCCTTGCTAAGTTTTGTATTTTTAGTTGAAACGGCGTTTCGCCAGGTTGGTCAAGCTGGCCTTGAACTCCTGGCCTCAAGTGATCCACCTGCCTCGGCCTCCCAAAGTTCCAGGATTACAGGCATGAGCCACTGCACCTGGCCGAATTCTTCTA